GTGACAGGGGGCGGTGCCCCAATCCCCCAATCGGCCCTACCCTGAGCGTGACTGAGGGTGGCATTGCAACCTCCCGATCCGCCCTGCTCTGTGCATGACGGGGCGGCGCCCCAACTCCCCAATTGGCCCTGCTCTGAGCCTGACCAGGGGCTGCACTTAGGGATTGGGCCTGCCCTCTGCCACCCGGGAGCAGGCCTAAGCCAGCAGGTCGTTATCTGCCGAGGGGTCCCAGACTGCGAGAGGGCACAGGCCGGGCTGGGGGACCCCCCTCCCCCCCGCATGAATTTTGTGCACCGGGCCCCTAGTAATAAAATAAAATAAAATGCCTTTACCATCCGGCCGGTGTAGCTCAGCAGTTGAGATCAACCCAGGAACCGAGAAGCCGCCTATTGGATTCCCGGTCAGGACACATGCCCGGGTTGCGGGCTCCATCCCGTGGGGAGGGTGCAGGAGGCAGCTGATCAAAGATGTTACTCTCTCATCGATGTTTCTATCTTTCTACCCCTCTCCCTTCCTCTTTCTCTAAAAAAATCACTAACAACAGATTTAACAAAATAAATAAAATAAAATGCCTTTCCCGTCACCAAGAGCGAGCAGCGGCTGAGTGACGTCACCGTTGGTGGTCGGAGGCGAGTGCAATGCAAACTCTCTGAAGTCTCCGTTTTAGGGCGGCGCGTGCACCTGGCTTTGTGCATCTCATGCCCGATGGGTCCTTTCTGGAGCGGCCACGAAACTAGCTTAGTAACGGTTTCAGGGTGACGCGCCTCCTTCGGGGCCCACGCTCTGGCCACAGTGGCCCTTGCAGGCGGGTGGCCGTTTCCTGAGGGCCAGACCCAGCACAGCACGTGCGGGGGGTCAGGTGCGGCCCCTGCCGACTCCTGGCAGAGTCAGGTGAGCGCCCCGTGGACTCGCCCATCCCGACCCCCTCCGGCTTCGCTAGGTTCGCCACCGTGGTGTTGGGCCTGGTCAGCCTGAAGAACGTGGCCGTGTCGTTTGCCGAGACGGTGAAGAGCTCCGCCCCCATCTTCACTGTGATCATGTCCCGGATGATCCTGGGGGAGTACACGGGTGAGCGCCCCCCCCCCCCCGCAGGCCAGCTGACTTCCTGAGAAAGGGGAGAAAGTCTTGATGGAATTTAGCAAAAAGCACGCAGGACAGGTCCTTCCTGAGGAGGGGCAGGCGCACGTCCAGGCCCTCGTTTCACACGCATTGTCCTCAGCAGCAGAATCCCCGGGCAGAGCCCAAGGCGAGAGCTGGGCACCAGGTGGAGGCAGTTCCTGCCCCGGGCGCTGGGCAGTGGGTTTGCTGCTGGCCAGCCGGCCGCTGCCGGAGGAACCGGAGCTGCGCTCGGCAGCAGGGCCCTGGGACAAGGATGTGGCCGTGGTCGGAGGCTGCGCTGCTTCCTCTCTGCTGAACAGGGAGGGCTCACACCGCGTCCATGCTGCCTCAGACATCAGAGCAGCGGTGCCGAGGGTCCCTTCTAGTGGGCGAGGCCCTCCCCGTACGAGAGGGCTGTCTGCCTCTCACGCCCGGGGTTTCGGTGCCGAATGAAAGGAATAAACCACGTGGGCTCAGGCACTGAGTCTCCCCACCCCCGGTTTCTCCTTTTAATAGAATCCCTGAGCCCATCTGCCTTCCTCTCCTGTTTGCTGGTGAGAACTTGTGCAGCCTGGGGGTCACCCAGGCCCGGCAGAGGCCACCATTGGGGGGCCTGGCATTGAGGGGGGCGGGCTCTTGTGCCTCTGCCTCCCTCCAGCACAGAGACAAAGGCGCTGGGAAGGCAGGAGGCAGCGTGGCTGCCAGAGGAGCGGCGGGGCCACACATGGTCACAACCAGGCTCCCAGGTCACAGCCGGGTCACAGCCGGGCTCCTGGCTCACAACCAGGTCACAGCCGGGCTCCTGGGTCACAGCCAGGTCACAGCCAGGTCACAGCCAGGCTCCTGGGTCACAGCCAGGTCACAGCCGGGCCCCCCCGTCCTCCTCTGCAGGGTTGCTGGTCAACCTCTCCCTCATCCCTGTCATGGGAGGCCTGGCGCTGTGCACAGCCACCGAGATGAGCTTCAACATCCTGGGGTTCTCAGCCGCGCTGTCCACCAACATCATGGACTGGTGAGTCCGGGGGTTGTGGGGACGCCGTGTGCCCGGGGCGCACTGCTCACCTGCCTCAGCTGGGAGACGGGTGTTTCAGTCCAGAGCCGCTCAGTTCCTTCCTGCCACTCAGAGCGCGGCCAGTACGCCTGCTGCTGCCTTTTCCTAAAGAGCAAAACTGGAGGTTCCTCAACGAGGTAACTTTTTCTCGAAAACAAGCTAGAACTTGATGGTTCATGGCCTGACCCTTAAGAACGCTCACCAGGGCCGTGGTAGCTACCACACGCTGGGGTGCAGGGAGCCCGGGTCCCTGAGGCCCGAGCCGCGTACTGGCTGCTGCGTCGGTGTCGGTGAGGTCCGCCCTGCAGGCAGCCGAGCATTTCAGAACCAATAATCACATTCAGTTTTGTCCTTTTGCTGAGAGAAGAGGAAACACCACCATGGGGGTCGGGGTCGCTGTCACCACCAAAGTGGGGCTTGAGGTTTTGAATAATCCTGCTAAGAGACAGTAAACAACTTTAATTCCACCTCCAACTCTCGGAGGCGTGGCCCCGCCTCTGTGGCTCCTAGAAGCATGACCGACCGACCGACCGACCAACCAACCTACACACTACACAGCCTCCTGCACCGCATGCCCCACAGCCTCAGTTCTGCGGACTCCATGCCCCCCCCCACACACACACACACACACCGAGCCTTCTGTTTAAGTCACAGGAGGCATCTTTTTCCATGAGCCTCCCTCCACTTGCTTTTTTTTTTTTTCTTTAACAATATGTTTTTATTGATTTCAGAGAGGAAGGGAGAGGGAGAGAGAGAGAAATATCAGTGATGAGAGAGAATCATGGATCGGCTGCCTCCTGCACACCCCCACTGAGGATGGAGCCCACAACACAGGCCTGTGCCCTGACCAGAAATCGAATCGTGACCTCCTGGTTCATAGGTCGATGCTCAACCACTGAGCCACGCCGGCCGGGCCCGTGTCCGATGGTCCTGCAGCAGCGGTTCCTGAAGGGAGCGGAGCCCAGGGCTCTGCCAGGCTCCGTCTGGGCTGTCGGCGTCTCCAGAGCCATCGTTCTGGTTCCAGGCCCGACCGTGAGAGTTCCTGTCTCCACTGTCTCGCCAGGGTTTTCATGAAACAAAACGTGCTGCTCCTGGAGTCGCGTGAGCAGCGCCACTCTCCAGGGCAGCCCCTTGCTTCCCGGCGGACGCTGTCTGGCTTTCTCTTTGGCCGTGTGTGTGTGTGTGAGTGTGTGTGCGCGTGCACGTGTGTGTGTACGTGTGTGTGCAGTCATGCATGTGCATGCATGTGGGCGGGTGTGTGTGTGTGAGTGTGCGCATGCACGTGTGTGTGTGTGTACGTGTGTGTGTGAGAGTGTGTGTGCGCGTGCACGTGTGTGTGTGTACGTGTGTGTGCGCGCATGTGCGTGCATGTACTCGGGTGTGTGTGTGTGTGTGCGTGTGTGTGGTTTCCCAGGTGTCTGTCGCCTTCGGGAGTTCATGAGCCTGAGCTCCTGTTCCGTTTCCTGGGTGCCGGACCACGGCAGGTGCTGATTTAGGGGGACTCTTGGTTCAGAGGGGGGCTGTGGGGTCCTCTGACACCCCAGAGCTGGGTGGCCGCAGGCCCATCGCTCAACCTCGCCGTGAGAAAGGCTGCAGACGCTGCGTCCATTTCAGGTTCCCCACTGACTTCCTGCATCGACGGTAACCTCTTCTCTCCTTCATTCCAGTTTGCAGAATGTTTTTTCCAAAAAGCTCCTCAGCGGGGACAAGTACAGGTTCTCGTAAGTATCACAGCTTCCCAGGACCTCGCCTCTCCCTTGGGTGCAGGGGGGCTTTCAGTGACCGTGGGACTCCGGAGAAAAGCCCCGTGGCCCATGGAGGCCCCGGATGGGCCACCTTTTCCTCCTGTGGCCGTACGGGTGGGCTCAGCAGGCACAGGCCCTCCTGGTCCCCCCGGGAGCCTCCTGGTCCCCCCGGGAGCTTCCTCGTCACCCCGGGAGCCCCCTGGTCCCCCCGGGAGCCTCATCACCCCGGGAGCCCCCTGATCCCCCCGGGAGCTTTCTCGTCACCCCGGGAGCCTCCTGGTCCCCCCGGGAGTTTCCTCGTCACCCTGGGAGCCCCCTGGTCCCCCCGGGAGCTTCCTCATCACCCCGGGAGCCCCCTGGTCCCCCCGGGAGCCTCCTCATCACCCCAGGAGCCCCCTGATCCCCCCGGGAGTCTCCTCGTCACCCCGGGAGCCTGTTGCCTGCTCTGCTCGGTGCTTCCGCTGCTCTCACATGAGTCCAGGTGGCTCAGGCGTGCTGTGCCCGCAGGGCGGCCGAGTTGCAGTTCTACACCAGCGCCGCCGCCGTGGCCATGCTGGTCCCCGCCTGGGTCTTCTTCATGGTGAGTGGGGAGCAGAGCTCCTGGCACCTGGCGGCATTTGTCCTTAGCGCTTTGGGAGCAGAGTAGGTGGCGCGATGTCCTGCTTTGCTGAATTACAGTGTCCACCCCGTGCCCCAAGGAGCATGGACAGAGGTGGAGGCCAGGCCTGGTGCGGGTCTCTGAGGCCAAGCTGTAGCTGTGGGAGTTTCCCAAGGTTCTCCTGTGGCGGTTTTAGGCTGATTTATTTTCATTTACTTTTTAAAAACATTTTAAAAATTGACTTTAGAGAAAGGGGAAGGGAGAGAGAGAGAGAGAGAAGAGCATTGATGTGAAAGGAACATTGATTGGCAGCCTCCTGCCCGCTCCACACTGGGGATGGGGCCCGAAACCTGGACACGTGCCCTGATGGGGAATTGAACCAGTGGCCCTTGTGCGCCGGCCAGTGCTCCGGCAGCCCAGCCTCCCCGGCCGGGTGCTCTGTGTTTACATGTTTGAGGAGCAACGAGACTCGGCAGCTGCACCATTTTGCTACGTTCCCACCAACAGCGCCCAAGGGCCCCACCTTCTGCCCGGCCTCGCCAGCGCGTGTTCTCTGGTTCTTGCTGCTGTTTTTGTAGTCGCCGTCCTGGTGGGGGAGGGGGCCTCCCTGTGGCTGGGGTGGCGATTCCCTGGAGACCGAGTGCACTGGCCGCGTGCCTGGTCGATGCCGTCTGGTCGCCACCCAGAAGGCAGGGTTCACAGCGGCCTCAGCCTCAGCTCGTGGGCCCCGGTGGCTGGGCACGTGGGACGAGG